TCATTAAGTTGCAGCAGTCGTTTTTCACCAGCAGCCTTGAGATCCATATTCAACTATTTCATAGCCCAATATGCTCGATGCTCTAACTCCAATGGTAGATGACACGCTTTCCCAAAAACTAGGTGGTATAGAGACATTCCTATTGGTGTCTTAAACGCTGTATTGTAAGCCTACAGTGCATCGTCGAGCTTCTTAGACCAATCTTTTCGGGATGAGTTCACTGTAACTTCCAGTATTCTCTTTAACTGTCTGTTCAAAACTTCAACTTGCCCATTGGTTTGCGGATGATATGGAATTGCTACTTTATGTTTCACCCTATATTTGTTCAACAGCTGCTCTAATTGACGATTTATGAAGTGTTCGCCCCCATCACTTATTATTGCCCTCGGTGTACCATATCTTGTAAATATGTACTTCTTCAAGAACTCTATCACCACTTTCGTGTCGTTAGTAGGCAATGCAACAACTTCCACCCACTTAGAGACATAGTCAACGGCCACCAAGATATATTGATTTGAGTACGATGGGGGAAAAGGTCTCATGAAGTCTATTCCCCATACATCAAATATTTCAACCTCCAAGATGTAATTTAATGGCATCTCATTTCTTCTTGAGATATTTCCAGTTCGTTGACATTTATCGCATCTCTTCACATACTCGAACGTGTCTCTGAATAAAGTAGGCCAATAGAAACCCGACTGTAGTATCTTTGCAGCAGTCTTTGAAGCTCCAAAATGCCCAGCATATGCAGAAGAGTGACAATGTTCTAGAATCTCCGGTACTTCATCTTCAAGAATGCATCTTCTGATTATCTGATTTGTGCCTCTTTTGTAGAGAATAGGATCCTCCCAAAAGTAATACTTCAGCTCTGCGAAGAACTTCTTTCTTTGATGGCTAGAATACTCTGGTGGTGGGATGGACTTAGCAAGGTAGTTAACAATATCAGCGTACCATGGGACTATTTCTACTCCAAAAATTTGCTCATCTGGAAAGATTTCATTGATGTCAACTGACATCTCAAGTTCATCCCGTTCCAATCTTGATAGGTGGTCGGCTACCACATTTTCACTGCCCTTCTTATCCTTGATCTCAATATCGAACTCTTGCAACAACAATATCCAGCGGATCAATCTCGGCTTAGCATCCTTCTTTGTCATAAGATACTTCAGAGCAGCATGATCTGTGTAGGCGATGACCTTAGACCCAACAAGATATGATCTAAACTTGTCAAATGCATAAACCACAGCTAGCAATTCCTTCTCGATCGTCGCATAGTTGATTTGGGCGTCGTTCCAAGTTCTACTTGCATAGTATATCACATGAAAGATTTTATTCTTTCTTTGTCCCAATACCGCACCAACCGCATGATCGCTCGCATCGTACATTAGCTTAAAGGGCAAATCCCAATTAAGTGACACAATCACAGGCGCTGTTGTGAGTTTTTCCTTCAAAGTATTGAACGCTATCAAACATTCCTCATCAAACTCAAAAGATACCTCTTTCATTAGCAAGTTGCATAGAGGCTTGGTGATTTTGGAGAAGTCCTTTATAAACCTCCTGTAAAACCCTACATGCCCAATGAAGCTTCGAACTCCTTTTACTGATGTAAGTGGTGGTAATTTCTCCATAACTTGAATTTTCGCCTTATCCACCTCTATCCCCTTTTCTGATACTCTATGTCCTAAGACTATTCCCTCTTGAACCATGAAATGACATTTCTCCCAGTTCAATACTAAGTTCGTTTCTCTGCATCTTTACAAAACCAAGTTTAATTGATCCAAACACTCATCAAATGAGGTCCCAAAGACCGAGAAGTCATCCATAAAGATTTCAATGAATTTCTCTACCATATCTAAAAAAATTGCCATCATGCATCGCTGAAATGTGGCAGGAGCGTTGCAAAGTCCAAATGGTGTTCTTCGGTATGCAAAGGTATCATAGGGGCATGTGAAGGTGGTCTTCTCTTGATCATCCGGTGCCACTAGTATCTGATTATAACCCGAATACCCATCCAGAAAATAGTAGTGGGAATGGCCTGCCAATCTCTCCAACATCTAATCTATAAACGGAAGAGGGAAGTGATCTTTCCTTGTAGCGGTATTTAGTTTGTGGTAATCAATACAAACTCTCCACCCTGTTACCGTCTTTGTCAGAATCAACTCATTATTTTCATTCTAAACCACTGTAATTCCTCCTTTCTTGGGCACAACTTGCACTGGGTTAGTCCATTTACTATTTGATATCGGGTAGATTATTCTAGCATCCAGAAGTTTGATCACCTCAGCTCTTACTACCTCCTTCATGTTTGGGTTTAGCCTTCTTTGACTTTCAACTATTGGTAAAAAATTCTCCTCCATAAGAATTTTATGCATACATAAGGAAGGGCTGATCCCTTTGATATCAGCTATAGTCCACCCAATTGCT